ATTTATAAAAAAAGTTACTGCTAAATTATATTTAAATTTAATTTATTTATTTATAAAATACTATTTAATAAAGTATTTTTTATTTATAAGTCTAAAAGGCTATATAAGTTATATTTAAGCAGCACTGGGTTAATACTATAAAAAAAAAGCAGTATATTAAGTAATAAAAAAGCTAGGATATAACTAGCTAGAAATTAACTATTATTTTTTAAACTTAAATAAATATTTTATACTATATTAATAAACTTTAAGTCTTTAGCTAAAGATATAAAATAAAAGGCTTAATATAACTAGCTAAAAGTTAATTACTATAAAAAAAAAAGTATAAAAAAAAAACTTTTTTTATAAAAATAAAAGAAAAGCAGAAATAAATATAGTTTTTTAATAATACCTAGCAGCTATCTAGTAATAAAAATATACCTAGCTTTATTTAATCTTTTATTACTTTTCTTGCAAGACCCGGACTATAATAAAAACTTATATAAATAATAACTATAAAATAATTTACTATATAAGATTATTTATTATATATATTAAATATAACTTAAATAATTAATTATTAATATAGTATTTATATAATAATTAAATTAAACTTTTTTTTAAAGTTATTAAATTATTAACTATATATTTAAAACTGCTTATAAAATTCTTTTTATTTTTTTGCTAATATAAACTAGATATTAAAGTTTATCCTTTAAGAATTAATTACCCTATACTAGGTATAGGATTAGAATATTATAAATATAATATAGCAAGTAATATTATTAAAGTAAATAAAAATTAATTATATAATATTAAAACTAAAAATACTAGTAGTAGCTTTTATTTTATTAATATAAACTTAATATTAAAGTTTATTCTTTAGGAACTAATTACCTTATACCAGGTATAGGGATTAGAATATTATAGCTAGTTAAACTAAATTACTTTTTTTTTAAAAAATATATAAATAAAAATTAATAAATAAATAAATATATAAATTAAATAAATAATAATATTATTATTATTATTTTAAATTATATTTCTTAACTTTATATTTATATTAAATTGAAAATATAATTTTTTATAAAAACTAATAGTTTAAACTATAGTAGTTTACTACCCCTGCTGCCTGCTTTATTTTAATTATAGCTAATAGTAATATACTAACTTATTAATATTAGCTAGTAGTTTAGCCTAAACTACCAGCAGCCTTTTAGTTAAGTTATTTAATTTTTATAACTTTTTATTTACTAGTAAACTATTAATAATATATTAGAAAATTATTATATAAAATTCTTTTTATTATATCGAAACCTTAAAGGTAATATAACTACTTTTATAGCAATTCTATATTTAATCTAACTAGTTGCTTCAGTCCCTTCAATACATTTTGGTGCACAAGTCGCTCCACCGATTAGAAGCCAGCGGCCCTCAACCTCTCCTAGTTTAGTATTAGCAAAGGCATCTTTACTAAAACACCTAAGATAAAATATACCGGTTGGCAATGCATTAGAGAGTTGGATCAGGCCGATAAAGGCCGAAAGAAGTATTTTAACTTGCATAGTGGAAGTATAACTTGTTATCGAACTTATTCTCTTATAAGGGGTATTAGAATTTAGAAATGTAGTAAGATTATTAGACTGCTTGTCCTTCAAGTAGCCGGCGATATAAGAACTAATATACTTTATTTTTTGGTGTTGCTAAAGCGCTTTATATATTAGTTAAGGATTTAATAGCTTCTATAACTATAAGCATTTTCACCAATTAGCATTCTTTATGCTAAGTGTAATTAAGTAATATCTTGCACCCAACAACTTTAAAGTAAATTTAATACAAAAGTACCATGGAGGATTTTGGATCTAGCTTAGAATGGACTTGGCCGACAATCTATCTACAACCAACAACTTCAAATTGAACATAAAGCAAAAGTGCCATGGAGGATTTCACGCCTAGCCTAAAAATGGACTTTGCAGACTTCACATGCAACTTATTTGCGAATCCTCAGCGTGCCGCGTTACCGAGAGGTAGATAGTACCCGCGTTCGATGCTGACGAATCCTGGATAGTCGGCAATGTAAACCTTTTATTTTACAATAATTAGTTATTATCGGTTATAAATTTATCCAAGTCAAAGCAATATTCGGCAGCCGCTTGCCGTAGCCCAACACAATCTACACATGACCAATCCTACAATTCAAATATGAAGTAATTATGTGGTTTTGCCTTAATAAGTGCCTCCCTGTATAACATTATATATGCAGTTTTCTTTAAGATTTCTATAGCAATTTCAATCTCCTTGTAAATAATCGCTTTACTAACTTACCTTTGACCTCGTTTTTGCTCCTATGTAGCCATCAAAACTACATTCTATATAACTGAGATCACTCTTTTTATTTTTATACCATCATTAAGAAGTCACCAATATGGGAACATCCGCGAATAAGGCCGAAGAAGAGATGCTAATTCTCAAATTTGACGAAGAAAGTACACTAGAACGACAGCCGTCTAGATTGGAGTTACGAATTTGCGATCTAGTTCCGAAATTCTCCGCCAATGCTTCTGGCTATCTTATAATATTCCTTCTAAATTTAGCTTGCTCCGCACTAATTCTGCAGTTTTACAGCAGTTATTACACCTCAATGGAAAACGAGCCATGGGAATACTATTGTGAGTTACAATGAGTAATGCCCCTTCATGGTATATGCTAACATGCACAGCTCCCATTCTCAACTATATTAAGCTGCCATTCCGGACAAAGCAAATTAGCGCCAGATTATTCCCGGAGTCATCCGATCCAATGGCTATCTTTGCTGCACCCCCAAGCAAAGAGGTGGATGATGCATGGAGCAAAGTGTCTCGCAATATGATTTTTGGCCTTACACGCCAAGATCTCTTACGTCTCGGTAAAGACCCCGCTACAGCCGTGAAGTATAGCCCAGATTGGAATATCTCCAATGGAGAGGAGCGGTACCTCGGGGTTCTGGACGCTTTCCACCAAGTACATTGCCTAAACATGCTGCGCCAGAATCTCATTATAAACTACGATTATTACTGGGGCAAAGTTTTTGGATTCAGGCCTGAGGCTTTTCGCGAGAGGCATTTGAGTCACTGCACATCGATTTTGCTGCAAAACATCATGTGCCACGCAGATTTGGGTGTTGTTACCCATGTCTGGCGAGAGGGCAACCCCGTTCCGTGGCCGGACTTTGGGATAAACCGACAGTGCAGGGACTTTGGCGCTTTAATGGATTTTCGGGATAACACAGATATAGAGAATTCATTTGATAAGTTTCGTTTCTACAAACAGCGTCCGAACGATTCAATCTTGTTGCCAATGGAAGAAGGCATGGCAGAGTTAATCGCTAGCGCAGATGAGTTTAGAGACGGCGAGTATTATAAAGATTTGCACATCAAAGGTTGCACTTGAAAAGAAAATTAAAGTCAAGAATTATAAGCTGGCCTCTCTTTGATTGTTGTGTACGCCCTACTAATTCTTATCTATGGCGCAGATACTTGCTCACGTCAAGAACCATAGCCGCGAATTTTGAGGATACAAATGCCATCTTAGCAGCTCACAATGCAATATAGTTTAAGGATACGTAAAGTTGCCTAATATTAATGCTCAATTACAAATGGAGAGTAATTTGGCACTCTCAGGTTTCGCATGTGACTTTGTATCATCCCAAATCCTGCGCCTTCTTCCATGCAGCATGCAGAGCGTAAATATCCTTTCGGAACGTATCTTTCAGCACTGGGATGCTTGCGGTACCGCCAGGAGCCAATGTAGCCTGAATAGCACCAAAGCCGCACAGATCATTTTTTCGGTCGATAAACCACAAAAGTGACATAGCCCCTCCCCAGCAGAGCGTACCCTTGCCATATCCGCTCTGGATATCTTCCATGGTGAGCAATCCGCCTAACCCGTGACCCATCTTAGTCTCGACATCCGGATCCGCCTTAAAGAAGGGGCCAAGTGGGCCAGAGAGAGTGGAATGCAAATCAGCTCTTGCATCTGGGCTCAGATGATCTTGAAACATTTCATCGACAGTGGCAGTCGTTAGCAATTTTCCGTCATTAGCAAGCAAAGAGTGCAGAATCTTGGTGAAGTCAAGGCCTGTCATGAAGAGTCCATGGCCACCAAAGTGACCCTTAGAGCACTTGTTCGACACACCGCCACCCCCAAGCACTGCCTTGCCATAGCCATCTTGGTCTTCAGGATTCAAGTCGACCTGGCGGCTGCGCAAGTCCTCTCGGGTAATGGGGTAGAACTGTGCATCCGAAATACCCAGCGGGGTAAAGATGCGCTGTTGAATGTAATAGCCAAGTTTCTGGCCAGTTACTCGCTCCACGATGCGACCAACCCAATCAAGCCCGGGACCAAACATCCAGCCAGCCCCAGGCTGAAAACCGAGCGGGTAACTGTAGGTTTCCTCGACGGTCTGAAGCTTATCTGGATTGACAGGGGCAAACTTTCTGCGCCATCGGCCGACATGCTCCTGGAGGAAGTCGTAACCGACGCCGGAGCTATGGGTGAGCAACATCTCAAGCGTGATGGGAGTATCTGCAGGCTCAAATAACGGATCACCGCCGTCTTTGATATTGGTAAAACCCGTTATGACCTCCTTTGTAGCCAGCTCCGGTACTACTAACGATAAGTCGCTTAGCAAGCTGAGTAGTCCATCTTCTACACATTGTAGAACAGCAACAGTTGTAACCAGGCTGGTGCAAAGGCCTAGACATAGGATATCATCAAGTCGCTGTGGTTTTTTCTCGCCTGACAGCAAGGTGCGTTTGCCAAGGGCATTGTTATAAACAAAGTGACTCTTGGCATCAGTAGCGCAAAGCACGGCGCCATGGATTTTATTAGCATCAATAGATGCTTTAAAGCAATTTTCAATATCTGGAGTCATAATAGCTTGTTTTTAACAGATTGATAGAAAGGAAGAATAAAGTTGAGAGATTATATTAAGTAGGAAAATGTTGTTATAAGCTAACAACTTATAGTTGCAACAATCGGTATATACTAAAGAAAAGTATACTGCTGATTAGCTAATTATAATTAGCGCTATATAATAAGCCAACTATATAAGATCTTTTTATAATATACCTTTAGAAAATCTGCAGGTAAAAGAAAACAGCTTGATTGTTAGTAATATATAAATATATTTTTAAAAAAATAAAAATATAATTTTATATAAATATTTTTATATAGTATTTTTTTAAAAGTAATTTAGTATTTAATATAATTTATTTTATAATAAATTTAGTATTTATAATTAATAATAAATTAGCTCTCGGGTATTTAATAAAATTTAAAATATTTAATTATATTAAATAATATTAAATTATATTTATCTATTTATTTAAATATACTAATAATTATAAAATAATTATATTAGTTTATTTATAAATTTTTTATATAAGAAAATTTTAGTAAAAGAAAATCTATATATTTTAATTTTACTGCAGCTATAGCCCGAGGCTGTAGTATTTCTAATACTAGTTTATATAATATACTATTATATAGAAATTATTTCTTTACCCTAGCCCTTTATAATAGTAAAGCCTAGGCCAGCCAGGTAGTAGTCTGTCTGCTAGCTATAAGCAGCTAGCAGCTGGTTTATTTAAAAGTTTTTGTAAATTATTCTTTTGTTTTTTTATAAATTTAGCTTGGCAGCTGTTGCAGCTGCTGCTAGCTGCAGCTGCCAGGTGGCCCCGGCAGTCCTTTAGCTTTATATAAAAACTTTTTTTTTTATTATTATTTTTTTAATAAGTTTTTTCTTTAACTAGTAACAGACAGGGAGTAATTAAATTAAATTATAGTTTAATATATAATAAATAAATTAATTTTATATAATTTAATAAAATTATAATTTATTTATATTTAAATAATAAAAATATACTTTAATAAAAAAATATTATATATAATTTAATAAATTATTAAAATAAAATAAATTTAAGTATTATAAATATAATATTCTAATCCTATACCTGGTATAGGGTAGCTAGTTCCTATATTAGGTTTATAAAGTAGGTTATTGGCTTTAATATATTCTTTTATAAAAAAAATAAAATTATATTTAATTTAATTTTTATTATAAACCTTTTCTTTAATACTTTTCTTAAGTTTATTATAGAATTATTTAATAAAAGCAGGCTATTTTTATTTAACTTTAGAGGCTAAGTTTTTGAATTTTATAGTATAATTAAAATATTTTTTTTTAATAAATATTTATAAGTTTATTTTTAACTATTTAAATTTCTTTAATATTTTTAAATACTTTAGTAAGTTTTTTTTTAAATTACTTAAAGCTATTAAAAACTTTTTAAATTTAAATTAATAAAGGTTTTTTTAAATTATTAAAGTAAGTATTTTATTACAATCTGGGTCTTGCAAGAAAAGTAATAGAAGATCAAGTGGGGCTAGGTATGTCTTTATTGCTGGATAGCTGCTAGATATTATTAAAAGACTATATTTATTTTTACTCTTTTTTTTATTTTTATAAAAAAAAGTCCTTTTCTTTTATACTTTCTTTTTTTATAGTAATTAACTTTTAGCTAGTTATATTAAGCCTTTTATTTTATATCTTTAGCTAAAGACTTAAAGTTTATTAATATAGTATAAAATATTTATTTAAGTTTAAAAAATAATAGCTAGTTTTTAACTAATTATATTCTAGCTTCTTTATTATCTAATATACTGCCCTTCCTTTATAGCACTAACCTAGTGCTACTTAAATATAACTTATGTAGCTTTTTAGATTTATAAATAAATAATACTTTATTAAGCAATATTTTATAGGTAAATAAATTAAATCTAAATGTAATTTAATAGTAACTCTTTTTATAATTTTATTTTTTTTTATTTTTAAAAATATAAAATAAAATAAATTTTCTTTATTTTCTTTTTATTATCTTTATTCCTATATCTTTTATTAAGCTCTCTGCTAAGCAATATCTTTACTATAGCTAGAATATAAGGTATTACTGCTAAAAATAAAGGCAAGTAAACAGCTTATGCAAGACCTTTAAATATTAGATTTATAATTAATATAATAATATATACTTATTTAATGCCTTTATAACTTAATATTAACTGGCTTTTAAAAAAAACCCTTATTATTATTATATATATTATTATTAATATTAAAAACTAAGTATAATAAAGCTAGCTTATATTTATATTATAAGTTTATTTAAGGTTACTTTTAAAAGGGTTGCTTTTAATTAACTATAATTTAGGTAATAGTAATAAATATATTATTTATACTTATACTAAAGATAATAATAATAGTAAAAGTAAAAAAGGCTATAAAGCTATAAATAAAGGTTATTAGGTAATATATTATTATTTAATATAGAAGATTATAAAGATAACCCTAAATATAGTAATATTTTCTATATTTTTTTATTTCTTTATTATTAATTTTTAGCTAGTTTATTATAATTCCCCTATAGATAAAAATTAAAAAATTCCTTTAAGAATATAAAAATTATATTATAAAAGCTAAGTAAAAAGTAATAGTAAACTTTTAAACTTTTAATAACTTTTTTATAATTAAGTTATTAATTTTTTATATTAAGGCTTATTTAATCTTTATTAATTAAATTTATTTAAATATTATTAATTCTTTAAATATATTAATATTTTTTATTACTTTAATAGCTGTAAGTTATTTTTTAAATTAACTAGGCTTTATTTTTAACTTACTGCTAGATTTATATACAGGCTGTTAATAAAATTAACCTTTTAAGTCACTACTGCCTAGATTTTTTAAAGGAGCTAGAATATACTGAAAGTATTTTAGTAAATAAGGAGGATATTATAAAAGAGAATAGGGCCTTTAAAGAAAGATTTAATAAAAGTAATAATATAAATGCTAACTAGCTGTTACAATCCGGGTCTTGTAAGAAGAGTAATAGAGGATTAAGTGAGGCTAGGTGTGTCTTTATTGCTGGATAGCTGCTAGGTATTATTAAAAGATTATATTTATCTCTGCCCTTTTTTTATTTTTATAAAAAAAAGTCCTTTCCTTTTATACTTTCTTTTTTTATGGCAATTAGCTTCTAGCTAGTTGTATTAAGCCTTCTATCCTGTATCCTCGGCTGAAGACTTAAAGTTTATTAGCACGGCATGGAATATCTGTTTAAGCTTGGAGGACGATAGCTAGTTTCTAGCTAGTTGTATCCTAGCTTCTTTATCGCCTGACACTAGCTATACTATTTTTTTTATATACTCCCTTTTTTTTAATAATATTCTAGTGCCTTTAGTATTTATATTATTTTAAAATAAATTTTCTTAATTAATTTTTATTATTTTTATTTACCTAGCAATTAGCAGTTTTTTTTTAATATCTAGCTTATAGTTATTTAATTATAATTTACTTTTTTAATAGTTATAATTTTACTTTTAGCCAGTAGCTATATTTTTCCTGCAGCTAGAATTTAAAAATAAAAAAGCAGCTTTCTTTTTTCTTTTTTTTTCTTTTTTTTTTTTCTTTATATTATTTTAAATAAGGTTTATATACCCCCCTTCTTTAAATAGCTTTATTTTAATAGCTAATTTACTGCAAGATTACTATTATACCTCTTAAGTTATTATTTATTAAAAAAAATATAGTTATTAGTAATATAATTAAGTATATTTTTATCTTTAATATACTAAAGGCTAGTTTTTAACTTATTGCTTAATTACTGCACTCTTTATGCTTATTATTTTTATTATTTTTTAAGCTATTTAACTGCTTATAAATAAAAAATAAAATAAAAGCTCTGCCCTTGCTATAATAATAAAAATAAATAAAAGTTAAGTAATTACTAGTTTATAGCTAACTAATAGCTAGGTATATTTAAAAAATATATTTATTATAAACTCTTTAATAAGCAGTATATATTTATTAATGCATTTGCTTTTTTTATTATTTAAAAGCTTTAAAGTTTAGCTATTAAATATAGCTATTTAATAAATATTTAAAAGTATAGTAGTTACTAGCTAGCTATTAACTTTTAATAATTTAAATTCTAGAAGTATTAGTAATTTAAATATAAATAAACTTAAGTAATAAAGCTTAAGTATAGTTATACTATAAAGTATATTATTAATAAA